AGTTGTAAAATTTTAATATTTATTTTTTTAGTTAAATTATATTTGGGATATTAATTTCGTTTTTAATATAATTTGGAAACATTGACATTTTCTAAAAATGATACTTTACATTTAGTATATCTAAAAAGACAATATTGTTTTGTTAATATTACGTTTTTATTTTTGATTTTCCATTTTTTATAACAGTTAACATTTTTAATTAATTTGTAAAATGTTAATATTTATTTTGTTAGCTAAGTTATATATGGAATATTAATTTCGTTTTTAATATAATTTGGAAACAATGACATTTTATAAAAATAATAAACTAATATAATGATGTGTTATTATACGATTGGAGGACTTAAATCATACGTGGACGTCCTCAATGGCTTATAGCCTCAACTTTTATATAGTATAGATTTAAAAAATATGAAGTTTGCCAAAAAGAAAAAATGAAGGGCTGAGAGTAAAGGCTTGTCCTGTTTTTGTGGCTACTAACAATCCGTCTGAAGGTGCTTGAGAAATGAAAATTCTGATTAGTTGATGCGCACAGAGATCCTTAGTAACTAACTGGAGAGAGATGATTGTGATAGCATCTCCCGTTTTCACCACTCCTTCTCACCTTCTCCTTCGCCACGCTTCTCCCCCTCTTCGCCATGAATCAACAAGAAGAATTCCCCGTTCCCGAAGAAGAAGCGTCTCCGCTACCTCCTCCTCCTCCTCTTCTTTGTTGCCGCCGCCACCTCGTCCGGATAAAGCGTCGGAGTTAAGGGCTCTTTGGAAGCGATTCAAGAAAGTGGCGGCTCCTTTCTGGTTTTCAGAGGATAAAGACCAGGCCAGGCTTCGTCTTGCCTCCGTCTTCGCACTAACTCTGGCCACCACCGGCATCAGCGTCGGCTTCAATTTCCTCGGCCGTGATTTCTACAATGCTCTCTCCAGTAACCTTCTTTCTTCTAAATCTCTCTCTCCTTTGCTTTTTTTTTTTTTATTATCCTACTCTTAACATTTCTTTCTTTCTTGATTAAATAAAAAAATAAAAAAAGACAAGGACCAAGAGCAGTTCACCAAGCAGTTGCTCTATTACCTCTGTGGTTTTGCCGGTGGAATTCCTGTGAGATTTAAACCTTTTTTTTTAATTTCTTTATTTTATAAGTACTATGGGCCGATATGATATTATTTTGTGCAGTTCTTTGTGCTGAGAGATTATGCAAAAGAGACACTATCACTAAGATGGAGGTCATGGATGACCAAATACTACCTACAACGCTATTTGAAAGACCAAACTTTCTACAAGATTCAGTCCCAATCCATGATTGACAATCCTGATCAGCGCATTGTTGACGACCTCAGTTCCTTCACTTCTACTGCCTTGTCTTTCTCTCTCACTCTCTTCAGCGCCACCATCGACCTCATCTCTTTCAGCAACATCCTCTTCACCATCTACCCTCCTCTCTTTCTCCTTCTCTTGCTCTACTCCTTTGGTGGTACTGCCATCAGTGTCTTCCTTGGCAAGGTTTACTTCTTTCTTTTTACCATGCTCTTGACACATTTCATCTCCTCATTTTTACTTTCAAACAAAGGTGTTTCTCATTAAGCAGTTATTTTTGTTGCAATAATTTTGACCTTTCATTTTCAGATTATGACTCTTTGTTTTAGCTAATTTCCATTTGACATTGCAGGGACTAGTGAATCTCAACTTTATGCAAGAGAAGAAGGAGGCTGATTTTCGTTACAGCCTTGTACGCGTGAGGGAAAATGCTGAATCAATTGCTTTCTATGGAGGAGAACAAAATGAGATGCAGCTTCTACTTCAGCGTTTCAGAAGCGCTTTTGATAATTTAACTGTAAAAAGTTACACACCCTTTTGTCTCTTTCAGCTGTGACTCTCAGCTTCCTCAATGGGTTTTCTTTTTGTCACCTGCAGGAGTTGCTGATAGCATCTAGAAACCTAGAGTTCTTCACTGATGGATACCGCTACCTCATTCAGATTCTTCCTGCTGCTCTTGTTGCCCCTATGTTTTTCTCTGGGAAAATTGAGTTTGGTGTTATTAACCAGTCTGTCTCAGCTTTCAATCATATCCTTGGAGACTTCTCCCTCGTTGTTTATCAGTTTCAAGCTATCAGCGCTTTCTCAGCTGTCATTGATCGACTAGGTACACTGATTTTGCACTCTCTCCTACTCTTATTCTCTACACTACTTGACTTGTTGCATAAAAGTCATGCATACATTAAACACAAGACTTCAGATGTGGCACATCTCTAAATTGGTCAGATGATGATTAGACAATTATGTACAAGTTAATCACTGTTACTCTGCGATCAACTATCACGGCAAAATGAAAATTTGTATTTGTTATACGTTTGGATTTGTCGTTTTACGCATCTAACCATATCAAGACTTCTTACAACTCAGGTGAATTTGATGATCTTTTGGATAACAACATCACCAGAGATCCCTCTCACGCCATGGACGAGATTGAGCTGACGTATCAGAGTGCGGGGAGTTCTTCTTGGCTAGATTCCAATGGTTCAGTCCCGTCTCGACAGAAACAAAAGCTTTTGGAGATCGAGGAGCTCACTCTTCAGACACCAACAAATGGAACCACATTAGTTCACAACTTAATTGCAGATATATATGACAAGGATCATCTACTGGTTAGTTCACTTTTTTGACTATTTTCTGGTTTCAAGCATGTGGACTAGTAGATGCTGAATAAGGTAGGTATACAAATGGCATTTAACAGATAATGGGTCCTAGTGGGAGTGGTAAAACTTCTCTCCTAAGAGCAATGGCTGGTCTTTGGAGGTCAGGGAAAGGAAGAATCACGTTCTACCTCAATCCTCAAGATGAGGAGAAATACGAGAGCCATGAAAATTCAGTGAAAAGAAGTCCGGGAGAAGTGTTATTCCTTCCACAAAGGCCTTATATGGTTCTAGGAAGTTTGCGTCAGCAATTGCTTTATCCTACCTGGAGTACTATTATGGAGGAGGCAACACCTGGACCTGATGGCAGTAAAATAGACGGTACTCCTTTCAAAACTGTGACTAGTAACACCAGCTATTTCAAGAAAATGCATTTGATTGTGCCAATGGTGTATTTCACCTATTGCACCTAAAGTTTCAGTTACATTCCAACCTATAAGAAAATGCATTTGATTGTGCCAGGTTCCTCGCCTCCTCTCCTGAAAAGAGATGAGTGTAAGAAGCCAACAACAGATGATCTGATGCGGACTCTAAAGAATGTTCGTCTTGGACATATAGTAGATCGGTTTGGTGGTCTTGATTCGCTTCATGAGTGGTCGAGTGTGCTCTCACTTGGTGAGCAGCAGCGGCTTGCCTTTGCACGGTTATTGTTGTGTCAGCCGAAGCTAGCTCTCCTTGATGAATCCACTAGTGCTTTGGATGAAGCTAATGAGGTAACTTGGTGTTTTTTCTCCTCTCATTTTAGAAGAAGAATATATTGTAACAGTGCCAGTTGTTTCTCAGGCACACCTCTACCAGCAAATCCAGTCAGCTGGGATTACATACATAAGCATTGGCCATAGGCAGACGTTAACCAAGTTCCATAACAAGATCTTACACATCTCAACCGCAGATCCGAAGAGCATAGAACGGAACTGGAGAGTAGTGGACGTGAATGCCAAAGAAGATTCGTTTGAATCAATAAGAAGTGCGGACTGAAAATCCGATCAAAACCTGATTTAATTATTTTTTACATAGAGACAAAGAAGAATCGTGTGTAAATGATCTCGTAGACGGCAGTAGTCCCTGAAACATGCTTTGTCCTGAAACACCCTTTTTGTACATAAAAGCTGCAAGTATTGACTGGCGTTTGTTCACGTAAAAGTCAAAGCCAACGTAAGATCAAAAACACCCATTTATCAACTTTTTCGTTCTCGATTTAAACAAAAAAGCAAATTTAGCACAAACGAAATAATATTAGGAGCCAAAAGTTTCAAAAGTGTAACAAGAAAAGCAAACTTAGCAGAAAACTACAACCTGACGTCAAACTCTCCAGCGCGTGTCTGAGCACGAAACCCTTTGTACAAACGAGGGAGAGTTTGAAGATCAAGCTTCTCTATCCTTAGGCCAGAAAGAGCAATGCCCATTATCTTAAACCCGAGTTTGAATATCGGATACACATGAAGCCGTTCTAACCCCGTTTCAAGCGCTAGAGTCCCCGACAAACATGGAGTCTTGTCCTTTGGGATTCGCCCAATTGTCCATGTGCATGTCTGCAAACGTTTTCCACGATCAGAAAGAAAAGTTTCCAAAGCAAAAAAAGGCAGACAAGACAAACAACTTACCTTGTTCGAGAGAATGGTTACAGTTCCATGATTTGACGAGAGATCTGCTGATGAAACACACTGAGGAAGCTGGAAACTCAAGGTTATCGACTCAATCATCTTTCCCCACTAACACGCTAACTCGGCATGTACCAGAATCTGATGTTATTTGAGGATTTACATATAAAGGTGTGTTCTTCAGCTTCTTCACCCTGAATCGCCCAACAGAGAAACCAAGACATTAGAAACTACTGTAAGAATAAATCTTTGTATAATGAAGACAAGGAAACCTGTAACTCATGAGCTTGAACTGTCCATCTGGAGGGACAAACGAGAGAACTTGCTGAGATTCCCAAGGTCTGAAGCGGACACAGGGGTGAAACCTCACGTCTTCTAACACCGAGGGATTCGCAAAAGACAATGTCAAATCGGGAAAACCAGTGAGCTGTGAACTCATTTGAACTTCACCATATATCTCGCATTTAACCAACTCACCATCTCTGTATCAAAATTACGAGTCAGATGCGATGAGTCTTGAAAGGTGTGTAAATGAAAAGATCAACAAACCTGTTCACAATTGCATCCATTTCTTCAACAAGGTCGACATAGACTTCATTGCTAGAGTACTTTGGATCGGTGGGTCTCCACGGGACACAAGAGGCAGTCCCACTTGGGAGGGTGTCACTAACGTTGTTGGAAGCATTGCCCGTAACAACACTCAACATTTTGCTGACTATATTGGGTGGAGCTATCATTTCCCTGAGGATGCTTGGTTCTGTTGTGAGAGGGAAACCGTTATCGATCATCTCATCCAAAAGCTACAACATACCCCACAACAAAATGGTGAACTTATTTATATATAACAAATTAAAGCCACAAGAGAAACAACATAAGCTAGAGTGATACCTCATAGACAATGATGAAATTATCCTTGATGAGATCTTCGTTTAGGCCGCCAAGGTAATCAGACAGAACATCAGCTACTCTGCAAAGAAACTAAAATGAAACTTTACTCAACACACAACATTGGAATGTACAAAGGAGAGATCAAGCCAAAAAGATTAACCTCGATGGCCATCAATGGTGGCATTTCGACTTGACTGCAAGCTAAGAAGTTGATGCCATCACGAAGAAATTGGAATAGGTAATGCGTTGGTGAAGCAATCACTGGAAGTGACTATATCCAAAAAGGAACAAAAAGCATCAAAACGAGCAAAAGATTGAAACTTTGACTACAAAAATAAAGACCTGAAAGGAATGGGCATGAGAGATGATAGAGAGATCCCAGAACCAAGCACATATAGATCGGTCGACGCGGTGACCACTAAGCTGCTTCTCCAGCATCACCTCTCTGACAACACATCGATCAATCAAATGTCGATTTTGAATTTCATCAAAAAGCGTTGAAAGATCACTTTACCCGGAATCGGAGATGAGAAATATACACTGAAGCATCTCTGAGCTATGCGAACGAATCTATCTGCGATTGCTCCACTCTCTTCTATTCCTTCTTCCTCCTGTCCATTTTGTGATGGAAATAGAATACTCTCAGCAAACCAGAAGCTTCTAAGTTCTAAGGGTCGATTTTTAACATACTCAAAAAGTAATGTGCGTACGCGCCATTTTAGTGATTTTAATAAGTTAAGAAAATACCAATGTTTTTAATCCTGATCTTGACACTAAACCGAAAACTTTCTGAGCTAATTAATTTTAATATATAATTATATATTATCTGTTAAAAATATAATAAATTTTTTTTTCAGAAAAAACATATTTAAATAGTCTTTTTATTTTACTAAAAATAACTAAAATAATTGAATAAATTTTTTGAAAACAATTATGCAATATAATAAAACACAATAACAATAAAATCTCATGAGTTTTAGATATCTATTGTAACTAATAAAAGTAAAATTTAAAATCAAAATAAACTAACTGTAAACATAAAAATTGTAACAGATTTTTGATAACAAAATAAATTAATACAAAACCTCATTAAATAATTTTGGTTTTTTATATATAAAAATTAATACAAAACCTCATTAAACAATTTTTATTTTTTCAATAAACCTCCTTAAATATATTTTGAAAACATAAATAATATTTCACATTTAAAATATATCATATAGTTTTAAAGATAAATCTTATACAAATTAAACTATATTTTTTTAAAATGTAAAATTTATTATTAAAGTAAAAAAATTAGATATACACATAGTTTGGATATTATAAAATATCCAATTAGGGAAATTTAGGTTATCAAATAATAGAAATTTAGAGTATGAAGAAAATTTGACTAGAAATCGTTGTGAGAATATACGAAAGAGAAATTTTTGGGATAGACCTAAAAATGTTTTTGTTACAAATATAGAATTTAAAAATAAAAATGACCAAAAAGGACTTAAATTTTTTATTTAAAAAATAAATATAAACTTATATCTTTTGGGTTAACTAATCTTAAAAATTTTTTATTTAGAATTGAGGAGTGAGATTTTGGGGTAGAACTTCTAGTTTAAAAGAAAATACAAAAACAAACTTAAAATATCTAAAATGAAAAATGATATTTTTGTCATTTTAATTTTTAAAGACTATTTTGTGATAAAATTTTAAAAATATCTATTTGAGAAATTTGCCTTATACGAAAAGAAGATTGGGCAACTAGTTAAGGAAATTGTAGAAAATGAGTTAAAATCATTTGATGGTGATTTTGACTAAGCCAGGTAAGAAAACAAACATCAAGTGTCCGGTTTGGTGAGGATATTTGAGAAATCATGTACAAGAGCATGTTTATAGGGGTATCTTATCTTTGGTTCTATAATCCAAAAAACAATTGAAAATTTATGGATCCTACAAAAATCACAAAATACGTGTCTTGTGTATGCAAAAGAAGGAACATGTTGTTCTGTCTCTTAGACTATGGGGATTGGTGTCCTGTGATTTTTGGTCCCCCAAATAAATTAATATTATTTTGAAAGTTTCTTATTTTGTGTATGAGCATTTGTGTCTCTTTGTGTTTGGTCCCCCGAATAAAATATTAATATTTTGAAAGTTTAGAAATTAATTATTTAAGTTAAAAAGTAAAAACATATTATAGATTTAATAAAAATAAAACATATAGCATTAAGTTTGAAAACATAAAAAAATTACAAAGTTACAAAAAATTGAAAAATAAAAACATACAACTAAGACATAATATAAAACATACAAACATCAAAAAGTAAAAACAAACATTTTATTCAATTCATAGAAATTTTAAAATTAATCTTCATTATTCGGAAGATTTCCGTAGTTAGTCCAAATATGCTCAATCAAGTCATCTTTAATTGGTTATGGGCTTGTTTATACTTAAGTCTTGTTCGACGAGTAATCATAGTGCCGATATTTGAAAACACATCGATGGGTTTTGTCGGAGAAGACACAAAGCACCCGAGAGTCGCCGTCGAGAGAGAAAAGAGAAGGGGAAAAGATAAAATCGCGAAAATGAATTCGCGTTGATCAATTTGGTGGGTTTTCCCAATCCGGAAACGACACGTGTCAAAGAGAACGTTCGAAATACATCCCCATATAAGGAACATGGACTTGTAATTTTTTTTCTTTTTCATTTAAATTTTGAAAAAAAAAAGACGAGGGACGGAAGAAATACATGCCAATGCACATGCTCTTAGACTGTTTTGTGGACTCCACGACACGTGGCGGCGTACAATTGACCTTTTTTAAAAAAAAAAAAAAAAAATTGGCCAAAAAAAAAATTAAAAAAATAAAAGTAAAAAAGTTTAAGAACCTAGGCTAAGACCCCTTGACACATGTTCACTTGTCTAACTCATTCTATACAATATTTTTTTTAACTAGTTCCCGCTGACCCAATTTTCTTTTCATATAATCTTGTAAAAATGGCTTATCAAATTTGTATTACTTGGAATTTGAATTATCTGATAGCTGTTTTTTTTTTAATTAGTTTTACGGTCTTGTTCTTTTTGCACTTAAGTTATTATTGTCCCACAGTTTTTTTTTTTTGTTCAAACAAGCATTACATTAAGATAGAATAGAGTTACCCTCCATTAAGGGAGGAGGAGTCTACAAATGTGAGAGCTAACTTAGCCACAGAATCAGCCTCAACATTCTATAAACGAGGAATAAAGATAAAAGAGACAGAATCCAATACAGAACTGAAGTGATAAATGTCGTACAATATCCCATATAGTGCAGGTCTGGTTTCCTTTGCCTTTATCATGGAGATTAGGCATTCAGAATCAGAGTATACCGTCAAGGATCGAAGGTTCGACGAGACAGCCGTCATGACTGCAGAACGGACAGCAATGGCCTCGGCCATCAATGCTGATGAGATGAAACGCCGGGAATAGCAAATGTTTGGTATGCACAGTGAGATGTTTCCTTTGAAGATACCGCCGATACCGCAATTCCCTGTGATAGGACACCAAGCCGCGTCTGAGAAGCATGTTGGATCCAAGGTTGTCCGCATAACTGGACTTGTGCTCCGTGTAGAAGCATAAGGCGGACAGAGCATGGTTGGAGATTCCACCTGTGCTGCTTGCCATTCTTTTGCCTCTGTAATCGCTTTTTGTAGCACTTCTGTTGCATTGTAAGACCTGTCATCAAAGCACAATTTGTTTCGTGATTTCCACAAATTCCACAACACCCAAGGCCATAACGGCACAGTTATTCCTATAGGGGGAAGAGTAATCATTTTATCTCCTTGAGTCAACAAGGCAGCCAAAGAGGGGAGCAGAGACCCCGGTTTCCACAACAATGGAGCAATCTCCCATACCTTTATTGCAAAGGAACATGACACAAAAACATGAAGATCATCTTCTACGCCATTGCAGTGTTTACAGGGGAACGGAGGAACCCCTCTACTGGCGAGATTTGAGCTAACCGGGACTGCTCGATTAATAATTTTCCATAAAAATCTTTTAACCTTGGGGAAGTTTTCAGATTCCAAATATGCTTGAGCCAGTCAAAATCCAGTGGGAGAGACTGTATCTTTTGATCAGAGACGTAAGCCACCCCATAACCAGTCTTTGTGGTGTAGCAACCCCGCGTCTCATGGAGCCATACTAATCTATCATCCACGGGTGCTGAGCTCGTAATAATACTACGGATTTTTTCCTCATACTGAGGTAAGTATCTATGAATACTATCCAAATCCCAAGTGTTGGAGATTGGACAGAGAAGGTCGCACACCTTAAGATCCTTAGCTTCCTTCGTTGGGGGGCCGATGGGGGTTTCAGGCATCAAGCAAGAGAGCCAAGGATCCCTCCACACGCTGATGCTTTCGCCATTTCCTACAGTCCACCCTAATCCCTTCTTTAAAATATCCCGCCCAGATAATATACTCCGCCAACCATGCGAGGCAGCGTTTGGTGGTTCACACTCCAAAAAGGAAGAGTTTTTAGCATATTTTCCAAGTAGGACTTGAGCAACAAGAGACGTCGGATCCTTGAGCAGTCTCCAGCCAATCTTTGCCAACATAGCGTCATTGAAGGTCTCTACATCCTTGAAACCAAGACCTCCAGCGTATTTTGGCTTCATCAAAGTAGTCCACGCGACCCAACACATCTTCCTCTTCTCCGGGTTTGCGTCCCACCAGAACCGCATCAAGAGAGACTGAATCTGTTTGCACAAAGATGCTGGTAATTTAAAACATGACATCGCATATATAGGCATAGCTGCTAGAACCGATTTGAGAAGGACTTGTTTCCCGGCTCCGGAGAGGAATTTAGTGGTCCAGCTGTTGATCCGCTGCCTTATTCGGTCAAGGATTGAAGCGAAGATGTCCCTTTTCTTTCGCCCGAACAACTCGGGAAGGCCGAGGTACTTGCATATTCTGCCCTCCGCTGAAATATCAAGTGTAGCTTTAACCCTTAGTTTCACTTCTGGAGGGGTCTTTGCGGAGAAAGTTATAGAAGATTTTTGGAGATTTATCCTTTGGCCCGACACTGCCTCATACAAGTTGAGTATTTCCTTCAGTTTTGACACAGCCGCTACACTGGATCGACAGAAAAACATCGTATCATCCGCAAATAAGAGATGGTTGACAAAAGGACTTCCCCGTGAAACCCGAACTCCTGCAAGGGTTCCTTTTGCTTGGGCCTTATCACATAAAGAGGAGAGCACCTCAGTGCATAATATAAAGAGGTATGGTGACAGTGGGTCGCCTTGTCGTATACCACGAGATGGAGCCACTGCTCCCTGAGGGGTACCGTTCACCAGAAATGAATAAGACACTGACTCGATGCACACCATAATCCAAGATACCCAGATAGGGTCAAATCCGAGTTTGTTTAGAACCATCTCGAGGAAGTTCCATTCAATCCGATCATATGCCTTGCTCATATCGGTTTTCACCGCCATGGAACAGAATTTCTTTTTTGCCGATGTCCGGAGATAGTGAAGAGTCTCGTGAGTAATTAAGACGTTATCCGCAATTGCTCTAC